CTCGTCGCCCTCTTTCTCAATGGACACTGGCAGCCCGGGGGGGGGGCGGGGGCGGGGGCGGGGGCGGGGCGGGGCGGGGCCGGCCCGGGGAGGCGGCGGGGCGGGGGGCGCTGCCCCAGAGCCGCCCGGCGAGCCGGCACGAGCATAGCGCGCCCGGCAATTCGCCGCTGCCCCTCCGCGCCCACACGAAGGCCGCCCCTTGCAGCGAGTCGGACCCCCAGCAGCAAAACCACGCGGTGGAAGCATCTCGGGGAGGAACCGGGGTCGGGAGCGAGCGGCCCTTCCCGCAGCCGCGCCCGGGACCCCGCGCAGCCCTCCTCCTGCTTTCCCCTCCCCCAGACTGGCGGGGGGCTGCCTGGCCCACTCACCCAAGCCCCCCCCCCCCCGGGTTTAACCCGACAGTGCTCAGCAGGTGCTCTCTGGCTGCCAACCTTTATGAGTTGCTTTTTGAAAAACCAAGTTTATATCCCACGCTCCGTAACAGTCCAGGGCAGTTTCACATTTCAGACACACACACACAAAGGAGAAATAACAGTATCCAAAAAATAAAAGCACAAACGAAATCTCTCAGGCAGCAAAGGGGCTGTGGGGACAGGCCAGTGCATAAACGAGGAGCGGTCGACACCCCTCTGCCTTTCACTCCGCAAATGCTGGTCCCACGACCGAGTTTCACCGGGCGAGCCCAGCGCTGCTGCTCCCCAGGAGCCGCTCCGCTCCCCTCCCCTCCCCTCCCCCGGCTTTCCCGTGCCAGTCACAGCTCGAGCTTCACCCTGACGCCAGCAAGTGTGCAGGCAGGCGTGTGCCCCTTTGTGCGGGGGTCTCGGCCTCCCTGGGGGCAGATCGCTGGCTTGGAGCGGGAGCCACCCGGGCCGATTAGTGGGGCGAGCCCGCGTGGGCGACGTGGCCTCATTCTCCGCCCCGTGGTTTCTCCGGCATGCCAGGCAGCCCGCTCTGCCAGATGCCTGGCTGATGGGTGTTCGGCTGCTCCGGAGGCGTGCGGGAAATGGCGCCCATTCCAGAGCTGCCCGGTGAGCAGGATCCCGCTGGGTGCCCTGCTGGTGCGCGCAGCCCACGCCGGAAGGCGCCTCGCTCTAGCCATCTTCCCTCGCCCCGACCCGCTTCAGAGGAGGGGGCCCGTGCCCGCCAGCCTGTGGGCGACCCGCGTGCAGCCTGGTCCCGCTCCCTCCAGATCCCGCCGCAGGCCTGCCTGCGTGGCCGAGCCGCCATGGGCTGGCACCCGGGGGCGCGGGGCGGGCACAGCAGCCGGCGTGGGAGCAGCGGAGGGCCTTCCCGCCCAGGGCCAGGCCCCCGCCCCTTCTCCATTCCCACGGGGGAGGCCGGTCCGTGGCCCCCGGGAAGCCCCCTGCCCACGTTCCCTGCAGCTAGTGCGCAGGCCCAGCGGGGAGGGCCGTCCCCAGGCAGCCGCGGGGCTCCCCGGGTGTCCAGGGCCCATTTGGAGCCGCGGACGAGTCTGCCCCAGGATTGCGCGGAGAGGGGGATGCGCGAGCGCCCCGGCTTCCTCACAGGGGAAGCGCAGGATGTGCGTGTGGCGGCGAGGGCAACAACACGCAAGCCCGGGTCGGCACGGGAGACCCTCGGCAGGTTTCTCACGGCACGGTCTGTGCATCCTGCTTTAAAACGCCTCTTTGTACGCGTGGCTCCATCCGTGCGTGGAAGCACTGTGAACTGCGCGTGTGAACGCGGCTTTTCCCTTGCGAAGCCGGGGAACGGGGGGGGGGGCGGGCGGGCGGCCGGGGGCCGCGGGAGGAGCGGGGTCGGCGGCCGGGCCCCTCGCCCGCGGGAAAGGTGCGCCCTGCGCCCGCTCGCGCGGCGCTGCCTCTCGCGGCCGGGAGGCGGCAGGCGAGGCCAGCCGGAGCCTCGGGCCTTCGCGGTGCCGCCGCGGCCGGGCGAGGGGGGCCTCCGATCGCTGCCCAGGACGCCCCATCGCGCAGCCTGCCCCTTCGCCCGGCGGCGTGGCGAGCGGGTCCCCTGCCTTGCTCCTCAGTAGAGGTCGCAGGAGAGCCCCGGGGCGGAATCGGGGGGCGGGGAGGGCATGCAGCCCGCCGTCCCGTTGCGCAGGGAATGCCCTGTTCCCTTTATCTTTTGCAAACCCTCCCTCTTTATTCACCAAAGGGTACTCAGTAAACCCCACGGAATGTTCCT